GTTTTGTGCTATAGCATAAACTGCATAGACTTGCACCCCAAACATTCTTATCTAGTTAAATACAAGAAAGTTTTGTTTTATAAAATACAACAGCTTTAAAACTCGTTTTTGGGTGGACAAAATTTACATTGAGAAGATTTAAACATATTGAGCTTTCAATTTGTACTTCGTCTTAATGCATTAGTGATTTGTTGATCTTATCTTATACTTGAACTTCTCATCAAATCTTTTGACCAATGAAATGCTCTCTAGTATCTGACATGTCCCGCCCACATGCTTGTTCACTACGAGTTTTTTGGTGGGCCCCAAAAACAGTTCGGCATCACATCACTCCTTAAGAGTAAAACTTAAAAGCATACACACTAAAGATGTATTATTATTATTATTATTATTATTATTATTATTATTATTATTATTATTATTATTATTATCATTATATTATTATTATAAATAATAATAATAATAATAATAATACTCACTATAAATAAATACTATATTGTTACCAAGCTAATATAAAAACAAAGCTCAAAGCTTCAAACATGACTGATCCAATCAGAATTTAGAGCTGGCAAAGTGTTTACCTCTGAATGCTATTTAAGTCGCTTCAGATCAAAGCATCCTCCGAATGCACAAATGTGCATTGCTTCCACTGCACAAATAGCTAACTATAACCAAACGCGTAAAGAAAAATTACCTTGCAGTCACAAGAAAAATATAATTCTTCAAATATTCCAGACACGGTAACAAACTCAAACCGGTTTCAATTGGCACATGTGAATCAGGGGCCTAATGGCTTCCCGGCTTAACACGCACAAATAGCAGTCATGCCTCCCAGCTTCCTCATTAGCATAGTTAATCCTGTGTCTTGAAGAGGCTTGAGTAAAATATTCCTCGCAGGCAGCTCCGCACAACAAGCGCCACTGATACAGTACATGAATAAATTACGGAGATAATTAAAGGAAATGTCAACGCGGGACTGGATGGAGCGTTATTAATGATGGCTGGGCTGTGTTAAAGTATCCTGGGCTGAAGTAAGCATGATTAATGTGTGTTTAATGGCAGCGGGGAAGAGCACGGATTCGGCTTTAATAAAGAGAGCTTATTTTACTGGGGTTTGTCTCTGGAATTGACCTGTTCTCAACACCCGGAGGAGCGTCGTTCGACCTTTCCAAAGATCATCTAATCTTCCGGTCTTGTTCAGAGATTTATTTCCAACAACAATTATAATGGGGTGAAATGGATGGATATGTCTGGGACGTGCTAATAAAAAGGAATGTATTTTTTTGTTGTTGTAGATGAACGTGGGTGTGCTTTACGCTTCATTGCAGGCCTGTGGGGTCTATGCTGACAGACAGTGATGTTTTTAATAGAAGTTCTGACAAAGTGCAGAAAGTTGCCTACATCCAGTCTGCTTTGTTTGTTGAATTAGTGTTTGCGTGCTGAGGTGGGCTTGTTTATTATGGCAAGCAATTTTAACATTTAATTAATTTCATGTTAGTAATTATTTTTGGGATGCTTTTACATCTATTGTTTGATTTTTTTGTGCCAAAAAATGGATTAAAATGGTTACAATGTTGCTTTTCGTTCTTGGTGCGGTTCGTTTTTCACATGCCAAGGTTTCTAAGTGGACCAAAAAAGCTCAAACAAGTTACGTCTGCGCAAACTCCAGGCCCGTAGCCGGACTAGTGAAAGAGTTTTTTTTTTTACTCTAAAAGTGGACCTTTTTGCGTTTCCCCCACATTTTGTATTTAAAAATTTTAAATAAAGCATTTTTGTGACATTTTTTAAATATTTAGAGCTGGATTAGCTTGTTTTCTGGAATTATGTGCATACTTGTTGCAGTAACAAAGATAATGATTGTTTTTTGTTTTTTTCAAGTTGCTTACTTGTGCACATTTTCTCAGTCAAAACACACACTACAGTACATGTTATTTATTTATTTAATTGTTTATTTTTTTATTTTTTTATTAACTTTTATAGGGACGTCTCATTGAAGGAGACATATGTCTATATTCAATAATGCAATATGTTGTGATAATCAACATGCACTATTGATAACAATTATTTTAACCTTTTAGAGTGCTTTTTGAATTTATTCAGAATGCTTTAAATAATTAGACCCAATTAGACCATTTTGTCTGGAGTGCATGCCAGACCACTTTCTGAAGTTGTCGAATCGATCGGATTTACATCCAATCAGAATAAAATGAATGAAATGACCAGGTGTAAACAGCCCCAAAAACATGGATGTGATGAGATTAGCGGCTTTTCCTGTGAAATGACAGCTGACGAATGACTCTGCTTGATAGTAAAGGCTTCATAGGACAGTAATTAAAAATATATATATATTGGCAAAATAAAGAATCAATAATGCCGAATATACAGGATGTCCCGGCTAATTCTGCCAGTTAGTCTAGAACCTCATGGTATTGACAGATTCTCATCTTTTAGAGAGTAACGTTAGCCTTACCCTGTTTGGCATTCTTTTTGAATATATATATTTCAATATTTTGTGACAATGCTGCTGCTGCCTGCTTTCTCTTTTATCTCTCTTTGTCATTTCGACTCATAGCCTTACTCAGTATGGATGAGGATGCCACATCAAACATTCTGACATTACCGCTCAGTGGGTTTTGTCACGTAACTTGCATCATAACATTGTGACTGAGGCTCTATGAGATTCAAATTACTGGCCATACTTATTTAAAATCACACTTTATTAAAGTATATATACTTCTTCAGTGCTTCGAACGACCCATCCCCCATGGCCAAAAAGTCCAGAATTTGTCCGTGATTTTTTGTGTAATAAAAAAAATTATATATATATATATATTTCAGCCATTCTCTGAAACAAAAGTCTAGGTTTGAAAGGACCCTTAGATAATAGCAGGGTGCGAATTATACATTGACAATCTGGTGGTCAAGTTTTTCGGTTGTGTTCGGTAATATGATAGATTTGGTTTTAAACCGATGAATTAATATTTCTGGCACAAACATACATTCACAATGGTATAAAACGTTATAGGGGTGGTCAAATTATTTATTATTTTAATTATTATTTAAGATACAGATCAGAGCAAACTATTTCTTAACTATTAAAGAGGCAGACCCCCTCATACATCTTGTTTTGATGTCCTTCAGAAGGGATCAAGTGTTAATTAGGGGGGTCAGAACTCCTCGTGGCATTCTGTGGAGGGTGCTCAGGGCTGTCTCATCCCTGTATGAACAGGGTAGGAGTCTGGTTTGCATTGCCGGCAATAAGTCAGACTTGTTTCCAGTACATGTTGGATTCTGGCAGGGCTGCCCCTTGTCATCAATTCTATTCATAATTTTTTTGGACAGAATTTCAAGACGCAGCCTTGGGCTAAAGGGGGTCCGGTTCGGGGACCACAGGATTTCATCTCTGTTATTCGCAAACGATGTTGTTCTGTTGGCTTCATCGAACATGGACCTTCAGCATGCACTGGGGTGGTTTGCTGCCGAGTGTGACGTGGCTGGGATGAGAATCAGCAACTCCAAGTCCGAGGCCATGGCGCTCCACCGTAAAAAGGTGGTTTGCCATCTCCAGGTTAGAGGAAAGTCTTTACCCCAGGTGGAGGAGTTTAAGTATCTCTGGGTTTTGTTCACGAGTGAGGGAAGGATGGAACGAGAGATTGACAGGTGGATTGGTGCAGCGGCAGCAGTAATGCAGTCAATGTACCATTTCCTTGTGGTAAAGAAGGAGCTGAGCCGAAAGGCAAAGCTCTCGACCAGTCAATCTACTTTCCTACTCTCACCTATGGTCATGAGCTTTGGGTCATGACCGAAAGAACAAGATCTCGGATACAAGCGGCCGAAATGAGTTTCCTTTTAAGGGTGGCAGGGCACACTCTTATGAATAGGGTGAGGAGCTCTGACACCCAGGAGAAGCTCTGCAGGAGTTGAGCCGCTGCTTCTCCACATCAAGAGAAGTCAGCTGAGATGGCTCGGGCATCTGTTTCAGATGTCTCCTGGACGCCTACCTAGGGAGTTGTTTCAGGCATGTCCCACCGAAAGGAGGCCTCGGGGAAGACCCAGGACATGCTGGGGGAACTATGTCTCTCGGATGGCCTGGATTGTCTCGGGATCCCCCCGGAGTAGCTGGAGGAAGTGTCTTGGGAGAGGGAAGTCTGGGGTTCACTCCTAAGACTGCTGCCCCTGCATAATGGCCCCGGAAAAGCGGCAGAAAATGAATAAATGAATAAATGAATGTTTACAATGCCAGTATTTGTTACAGTTGGATTGATTTAATGTTTAAATTGCTTGCCATATACCTTTATACTAAATAATGTCTACTGGTGGAGCTTCTTAACCCCTGTAAACGTGTATAGCAAAGTTCAGTTGCAAAGACCACCTAATTGACACCGGATTCGACAACACCTGTTGAACGATGTCACCCACAGAGTCATGTCGCTTGTCCTTGAATGAGAGTGAGTCTTGTTTCAAGGTCAGTTTGAGCACAGAGATGTGCAATCTTTCGTGTTTCTCATAACAAGTTCAGTGTGCTCTGTGCTGCAGCTTTCAAAGATAAAGCCCGTCAGTCAGTTTCTCGGGTTAAATTAAAGCTTCCTGACAAGATCAGCATATTCAGTGTAATTTCAGCTCAGCGCACTGTAAAACTGCTTTGAAAGGAATTTGATTCCTGTAGAAAATGAACTGCCAAAAAAAAAAAAAAAAACATTTCAAGTTTAAATGTTTAAATAAAATTGAATGTTTACTTGAGAGGCAACATGGCATGCACTTCTTTGTCTTAATGTTACAGAAATAATTATCTATCCATATCTATCCATCTATACATGTAAATATATGTAGGATATGTATATTATTGTCTAAAAATCTATCATCTATCTATCTATCTATCTATCTATCTATCTATCTATCTATCTATCTATCTATCTATCTATCTATCTATCTATCTATCTATCTATCTATCTATCTATCTATCTATCTATCTATCTATCTATCTATCTATCTATCTATCTATCTATCTATCTATTATTGTTGTTTCTTGTGCCTTTCTATTAAATCACAGTCATCATTCTATCAAATATAAAGATTAATTAGTGTATTCGTTGCTTTGTTCATTTATCCATCCGCAGCTCAAAAATAGATCGTTCACGAAGCCATCAAGCATCCACAATTGAAACAGGAGCCAAAAACATTCCCTTTTCCTGTGGTCATAGTTTTGCTCTTCAGTCAGAGGGTGGCGCTGCGGCTCATAAAGTCTCTCTCGCTCGCTCCCTCTCTCTCTCTCTCTCTCTCTCTCTCTCTCTCTCTCTCTCTCTCTCTCTCTTTCATTCTGCTGATCTGCTGCTGGACCTGAGCTGGCTGGACACGCTCAATGGAAATCTGGCCGCATACAGCGTCTCTCTCTCGCAGTGAATGGCTGTGAATCCGGCGAGGTGTACTGGGCACAGGAGGAGCAGGACTGTCTGCCTTTGAGCGCAGTTTCCCAGAGGCAGCCAAACTGGATTATATTCCGGGGTGAAGTACCGAAGGAGAAAGGGCGAAACCCCGCGACAGCCTGCGCTTTTCTTCATCCCCTCTCTTTCTCTCTCTTTTTCTGGAAGCAAAGACTTGGACAAAATGGTTTTCCCGAAATCTCAGTGACTGCGATGTCAGCATCTCTCATTTTACCGCTTGTGGAGCGCAGACTGAAGACATACACGCACTGAGAGGAGAAAATAACAACGCGTTAGTCAGGTAAAGTAGATTTTCTTTTTTGTTATTCTCCATGCTCGTTGTTTTACCTTGCATGGCTTTCATGTGCATGTTTCCATTTTCCCTGCAATCGAATTTAGAGGTGATTGAAGCTTTTAATCAGCAGGTCAAATATTAGTTCCCCCCGTCAGCTCGTGTCGGTTTATTGGGGAAGAGAGTGTCTGATTGACGGGCTTTGATTTGACAGATATGGGTTTGGAAGGAGCTCTGCAGCAGGGAAGTTCAGGCTAAGCTTCTTCTGCGCATCTCCTGCAGAAATGCACAGGTGCTCTGCTGGTGTGTCAGGAAAACCCCTGGAGAGAGCCTGACATTCAGAACCAAAAAAAAAAAAACACTTTGCATTGCAATGTCCTTGTTACCTTAATTGAATATTTTAATAATACACATACACTATTTAGTATATATATATATATCTATATCTATATATATCTATATCTATATATATATATATATATATATATATATATATATATATATATATATATATATATATATATATATATTATTAGTTATTAGTTATTCAAAATACGATACTTATCTGAAATATATGTAAAATGTGGATAATTATGAGCATTTCAATTTATGATGGCATTTTGTTTGTCAGTCGTATTTAATAATATTCAAATATGCAATCATTTTATTACTTGTTTTTTATGTTATTCATATTATGTATTGAAACATTTTTATAATAATTTTTCTATTAATAATAATGTAGTATATGTTCAAGATACAGATGCAGGTTTTTCTGTTTGTGACTAATTTTGTAAGTTCCATTTAACAATATTTAATATTTAAAATAATATTTATTGTGTAATATTTTATTGGATATAATATTTTTATTTATATGCATTTTTATTATTTTTAAATAATAAATTAATACAATTATTATATAAATATTAATATTCAAAATATGCATACTTATCTGACATTTAAATATGCAAAATGTGAATATTTATGAGCATTTCAATGTATGATGGCATTTTGTTTGTCAGTTTAATTTAGTGGCATTCAAATATGTAATTCTATTATTTATTTTTATGTTATTCATAGTATGTATTGCAGCATTTATATAATAATTCATTATTTATTAATTAATTAATGTAGTACACATTCAAGAAATAGACAAGTTTTTCTGTTTCTGACACTTTTTTGTCAGTACTATTTAACAAAAATTTAACTAATATATAAAATAATATTTATTATAAAAGGTATTTATTATTTAATATTTTATTTGATATAATGGTTTTAATAATATGCATTTTTATTATTTTTTAAAATAATAGATTGATAAAATTATTCTAACAATATTTAATATTTAAAATAACATTTATTGTTTTAGATTTTCTTGGATATAACAGTTTTAATTATATGCATAATATTATTTTTAAATAATACATTATTACAAATATTATATAAATATTAATATTCAAAGATGCATACCTATCTAAAATTTAAATATGCAAAATGTGGATAATTATGAGCATTTCAATGTATGACGGCATTTTGTTTGTCAGTTGTATTTAATAATAGTCAAATATGTAATCGCTTTATGATTAATTTCTTTACATGTATTGCAACATTTATATAATTATTTTTTTAATTATTAATGTTGTATAAATTTAAGATATAGATGTAAGTTTTTTCTGTTTGTTATTTTTTTCAGTTCTATTTAACTCATATTTCATATTTATTATACGTATTATTTAATCTTTTATTTGATACACAATAGCTTTAATAACATTAAACTAATATTCTACAAAAACAGTTCAATTATAAATCACATTTATTTTATTAATATTGTATTTTATAGTTTTTAAGTAATTTCAGTGGTTATAATTAGTTTGACTTGATTGTCAAATTAATAATATTATTCAAAAATATTTATTTTAAACTTCAAATGTAATAAACATGTTCTTATTAATATTTTGTTATATTTTTATATTTATATTTAGAATTTTTTTAGTTTATCTAACATGCAACTGGTAGTCAAGCATACTTTGCTATTTTTATCATGCATATTATGTTTTTTAAATTTTCCATTTATTTTTTGTTTATTACCTTACGTAATATAGTTTGTTATAAGTACCTCCATTTCTGACTAAAAGTATTTTGTTTGTCAGTAAAACCACTTTAATAGCTTCTCTAATTGCCAAAAAGGATGTTCAAATGGACACTGTAGCTTTGTGAAGTTCGTGGAAAGAAAGCTAAATGGTTACTTAAGAAAGAAAGAGAGGATGGAAAAAGCATAATAATAATGCTTGAAAGACTAATATCTTTCTTAAATTCATTTAACAAGCTTCTCTACAGTAACTTTATCCTTAACAAACATTTAGGTTGTTTATTTTAACCATGTAACATGAAGACTACAACATAAAGAGCGTCTTCCTACTTCTCGTATGATGTAACACGCTGAACTGATATCATGCTCTCTCTCTCTCCCAGTATAACCACTTCCTCCAGAATGATACTTGTAATATGGCTTTGCATTTTTAATGTGAACTTTTGGTTTTTAATTTCACTTCAATTATTCATCTGAAGTATGCATGCAATATGAGATGCTTGCAGAAATCACACCGAGTCAAGAGAAGTCAAGGAACGTCCCTCACTTTTCACACCGCTTAAGTGCCAAGTGTCCTTTCATCTCACAGTCGCAGATTTCATATGAAGGAAAAAAAAAGTCTCTATTGGTCATATACGCAAAAGTGCATTCAGCATCACATAGGAGAAGATTAAATTGAGATTTAATGCAGGACTTTTTGCTCATTTCATTCCACACGTGTGATGTAAAAAAAAAAAAATCTGTGGATTTCTAATAATGTTGAAGCTGTGAAATGAAGTCATTCATCGCCACGCTTAGAGCCTCAGACAACTTGCATAAAAATTCACACCATAGAGAATCTTCAAATGACCTGCTTTACATATGTGCGCTCGCCTCAATTTATTCACTAAATTGTGTTTCAGATAATCTCTTGAAGAGCATATACAGCACAAAAACAAGTAATTCAAGGTATCCTTTATAGCATAAGTGCCCTTGTGGGTTAACATTTCTAAAAAAAAAAAAAAAACAGCTACAAAAAACATTGTTCTTAAAACACCTCATCAGCCATGATGAGACTTATTAGGCATCTAGTCATGTAGGAGTTGGAGGATTTCTGTGTCCTGAGACCTTTTTCCAGAGCTGCCATTCGTTATCCTAATGAGCGCCACTGACTTTGGGCTTTAGGGAGCAAATAAATTAAGGACAAACACATGCCTACTCTAATTACAACACATCAGCACCTAACAACACAGTGTGACAGAAAAAATCCTTTTTTCTTCAATGGATGGTTTTAACAAACTCTAGATTTTATCTTACACAAAATGTGCTTGGTTATAAGTACCTTCATTTGAGTGTAAAAGTAGATTTTTTTGTCAGTAAAACCACTTTAATAGCCCTAGAAAGGAGGTTCAAATGACATGGTAACATTATGAGGTTCGTGGAAAGAAAGCTAAACGAGTTCAGTATAAGAGGGTGATAAAGAAAAATGTTGTCGTTTTTGAAAGGAATTAAACATTTTTATTTCTTATTTGTGTATGTGTTTGTCTGATCTAGTCTTGAGTGTTTTATATTGTTGTGGAGGAAGAAAAATGCAGTTAACCTGTCTTTAACCCCTTTATATATCAGCGAAGCTTAAGTCATAGTGTGAAATATAGGTTTAATTGAATGTTTAAACCGTTATTTAAGAGTTTAAGTAAGTTTTTTTAATGGTCCACGTTTAGGAAAACATTTCAAGCACAAACTCTGTAAAAATAAGCATTTGTGCAGATGTTAGATTACAAATGGTATGTATGTATCTCATATATTGTTGTATGTGTATGTACCTGTTTAATGGCTTGTTGGCTGATTGGGGTGATTGATTGCAGGTTTGATGGAGCTGTATCACTATTTTTTAAGTACTCCAATTTGGATTGTTTTACCTGATGAAGACCATTGCTGCGTCCCAATTCGCATACTTATACTACACCCTAAAAGTATGTACTTTTTTGTAAAGAAAAAATATATACTTTTGAGTGTGAAGATTATGCAAGCTTTGGAACATACTACTTCCTCGTTAACAGATCGTTATGTTGCTTAGTTATGAGCCCTGTCAATCATCCACACATCATCCACATTTCTGTCTTCTTTAAGTTCCTACCTTATTGGAGAAGCAGCAGCAAGTTAATCTGCCATTCACAAGTCTTTCATGCAGAGAAATCTCCTCAGGTCTTTGGATAATAATCCATTCATACGTTAAAGTCCAGGCACGTTTTTATATAAGTTCAGTATTGTTGTTGCAGATGAAATATAACACAGAAAACAAGATTTAAATATTTTTTATTGGGCTAGATATTAATCCACAGTCATACAAACATCTTTACCGAAGGCTGTCTACTTGACAGTTGGTTTCACGCGTCAGGTTTTTAGTTTATTTACACTTTTCACGCTCGTTTGTAGTTCTAATTGAATTAATGTCCAACGCACAATGCACTGTGGGTATAATCAGCAGTTAGAGTATAGACGGTTCTACACTTAAAGTTTTGACCGGAAATAGTAAACCACCCGGAAACCTTTGGCATACTCTTTTCAACATACTACGATTTGGGACACACTAATTCTGTTTTCAAATACTATTTAGGATGGATAGTATGTGGATTGGGACACGATTCGATTTTCGATTATGAATAATTAATTAATTAATGACCAATTAATTATTTGTAGCCTACCGTTTAAACTACCTGACCTGCATAGTCATTGTTTCACCCATAAACAAATCATACAGTAAATTAATAAAGGCAAGATACACACATAATTACCACCTGTCAATCACTTTTTTCTGCGGGACTCGTGAATAAGCAGTGATCTGTGTCGTTATAATGGCGTCGGTAAAAAAGACACACAACCAACAGGAACCAGCCAACAGTATCTGACGTGTGCGCTAAAATGACTAAGTACAAGTGAGTGA